CGATGCTTGGACTGACTCTTGCCTCTACCACGGTTGCTTCCTCTTTCATTCCTTCTTCCTCTGCCTTCAGTACTCAACAGTGCACTCGAAGAATCCCCTGAACTTCTGCGTCTGATGTCTTCACCTAGAATCAAGTCCCGAATTCCTTCAAAAGTAAACTTAGTAGTACCAGATGCACTACTAACTGCAGTCACTGTTCCAGACCAACTGTCAGGCAAAGAAGATAAAAGCAGCAACGCCTGAAGTTCATCATCAAACTTAATTCCAACTGATCCTAACCGAGTTATGACCGAATTAAACTGGTTGATGTGAATGGTAACTGAAGCACCCTCCCTCATTCTGGTGTTAACCAACTGTCTGATCAAAAACACCTTGTTCAATGCTGAGGGTTTCTCGTACATATTCGACAAAGCTTTCATTAACCCATGCGTAGTCGTTTCATTGACTATGTTGAAAGCAACACTCTTCGCCAATGACAACCTAACCACTCCCAAAGCTTTCCTGTCCAAAATCGCCCAATCTGCATCACTCATTTTTTCTGGCTTTTCTCCCGATAACGTTTGGTATAAGTCTTTCTGATAAAGAACATCCTCGATTTGCATCTTCCAAAACCCAAAATCACTTCCATCAAACTTTTCAATCTTTATCTTTTCATCTGCCATTGTTTCCATACACGGCTGAAAAAACTGATCTGAGATTGAAAAAACCAATAACGAACTAACCTTGGCAGCGGCTATTCGGAACCCTAGCAGCGGCGGCTAAACAAAACCCTAGCAGCAGCGGCTGTTCACAACAGCGGCGCGGTTACTGTTCACAAGACAGTACAGACCGTATTCTGCAGCGGAAACTATGACGGTGGCGGAACTGATCTTCAAACCCTTTGAAACCCTAATCTTCGATTTGAACCTGACCTCCACGAACCCGAGGGAAGACTTCAACGATCACGAACCTATGGCTCCGATACCAGTTGTTGGGGTATCTATGAATACTAAATAGCAAACCACAACCAAACAAGAACACACAAAACAGAAATCATAACGGAGAAAACGGAACACAAGATTTATAGTGGTTCGGTCGGCTGACCTAATCCACTTTGCAACTAGGGTTTTTATTATCCAGGTGCTCACAGAATTACAAGTACAGAGATCCCTATTTATGAAGACTAAACTGGGGTTGAAAACTTAATCCCCAAGTTAGGCCCAAGCCCACATAGAGAATTAGGGCCGGCTAAATTAAAAACCTAATTTACTGCCATATGGGTCGAACCAAGACTAGGGCCGGCTGCCCTTCTTGGTCGAGCCTCCACACTCAATTCGCCCAACATGAATAGTGATGCTCTAATGGGCCTGGGCCACATCATTTCCGAAGTATATGTACCTCCTTCACTTCATGGGAGGAGGGGGGATCAGATTCTTTATGCCCTAAGCAAATTCTTTTTCCTCTCTACTCTCTATTTCTCCCTACCTGGTTCAGAATCCATCACGTAAACTAAAGTTTATGAAGTGACAGTGGGAGTACATGTTTAACCTTTAATGTCCAATGCAATATAGAGGGAATTGATCATGTATCATGTTTTCTTCACAGTATTTTGGTTTTGTAGGATTGACAACAATTTTAAAGGAGTTCATAGATACATATTTAATTTTGTTGCTCTTTTCAATTTCAGCAATGCCAATATTTCCTCTTCATAGGTTATGAGGTGTAGTAAAATTGTGGTGGGGCAAAAAACATGTTGTGGGGCACATGGTGTAGAAAAATTTAATGCAGGATGAGAATATGTTTGAATTTCATAGGGATTGCAAAATTCATAAACAACTTTGGAGATATAGTAATCTTTTTCCACATTCAAAACTCGTGTTTGTACTTTTACTCTCTCATCTCTCTATACTTGCATAATTATAAATAAATAAAAATATATAAACATATATACATATATAAATAAATGAATAAATATATATATATATGTGTGTGTGTGTGTATATATATATATATATAAATATATATATATATATATATCGACTCCAGTCAGATGATACCTTATGGTAAGATGACATGCTAAGGTCAGATGATGTAAAGCTCACCACTGCCAACTACAAAGCTCATTCACATCAATTGCAAAGCTCATCAAGCTATATGGTAAAGCTCACCATGTTTTTTCAACACTTTGTTTTTTTTTCAAAAAAAACCAAAGGAGTGGACTTTGACCCATGTTGACTAAACTTTGATCGCTGACTTCTGCCAGAGACTTCCGCCTGCCGGTGCTGGTTGCTCGTCGCCGCCGCCGGTCAATGGTGGTCCATGGCGATCAATGGTGGTCCAAGTCACCCTTTGATTTTTTTTAAAAAAAATTTCAATCTAAAAATTTGGTGAGTTTTGTGTGTGTGGCTGTGTGCTTGGTGAGCTTTGCAGTGAAGATTGGTGAGCTTTGTTCATAGAGTTTGTGAGCATTGAAACTTCAAAGTGTGAAAAAATCATGGTAAGCTTTTCCATACATTTTGGTGAGCTTCGCAGTAGTCTTTGGTGAGCTTATGTGACCGTAACATGTCATCTTTCCATAAGGTGTCTTCTGGAGTCGATCCCATATATATATATATATATATATATATATATATTGTGTGTGTGTACATATATTCGTTGTAGCTTTAGAAAAATGTTTCAGCTACTCCATCTAATTGGACTAGCAGCTATTTCAACTCATTAATTCAGGTCTTATGTTATTTTCTTATAAATTCTAATTTTAATACTCGTATATATTTGCTAATATAATTTTGGGAGTCCTATGGTATTTACATGATAGATCTGTTGGCAGGTGATCCAATCAAATATGTGGGATCTTCTGTAACCATTGAAGCTGATAACAGGTCAGCACATTTACTTTGCATATAATCCACATAGTTTTATAATTATAAATTTGAAGTATTCAAAATTTTCATAATTTGATCATTTTTTCATTTTTATGAAGGGATTGATAGTTGATTGTAAATCATAATGTACAATAGTTACCTTGTGTGTGCTTGTGAACTTTTCTCTTGTTTGGATCCATGCATTTGAAAAAAATGGCCCTTCTTGTTTGAAATAGTGGCCTCTTTAATGCCATTTTGAAGCATCTATGATCTAAAAGGATTAGAAAAATGTTCTTTAACATTGTCCCCCTTAGCATTCGAACATGAACTTTAAACTAAGTTTTGTTCTCAATGCAATAGTCAATAGGCACATAAAAGAAAAAAAACAATTTCTATAAACTCCCATTAAGTGTAACTATCTCATGCGAGAGGAATGGATCATTATGAAACTGCAGATTTATATTTTCCTCAATACTGGGTGCCTTAGTAAAAAATGAACTAGGGAAGTTCTTTTCCTAAGACACAATGTACCTAGTGTCTGGTGGTGTAGATATGTGTAACAAATAAAGATCAACTGTCCTTTATGGATAATAATCTTAAAATGCGACACATGCATCATGAAAAAAATGCTACTACAGTATGGAACAATTAAATGTACCGGTGAGTAAGTAATTTTACTAATAAATATTTAGGTCAAAGCAAAATTTGGTAGACCAAGGATAGATGATAAGGAGGGTATCAAGGTTATAAATTTTGTGTTGGCCATCATACCTGTTTTGAAGTGGGTTGGTCTGTGGTACCAGTACTAAAAATGAGGCAAATTTTATACATATTTCAATGAACTTTTCATAAGCATACCCTATTTTCATTTATGTGTTAATAACATGTCTAATACGACTAAAGCTTGCGACTTTTATAAGTACAACTCTTGATACAACAAAAATAGTAAAATACACAAATTTGCAATGGAATAAAAAACTCTAATACTGTATTATAATTAAATTTATGAATTTGGGTGTTTTGTGCAAGATAGACTGTATCAGCGCCAACAAAATGAGGGGGGGGGGTATCCAGTACCCTTGTATGCTTATATGATTGCCCAGCATCGTGAACTTTGTACCTTGCGTCACCAGCTTCATCAACTGGCATTCCACCTTAGCATGTGTATGACGGGGGGGGGGGAGTGGTGGATAGATTTTTTTTCTTGTTGGCCTGAGATTTTATAGTTTCACGAATGTTTGCTAAAGCACTTTGATGGTGGGGTCATTGAAGATGGTACAACTTATGATGCTTGACAATAGAACTAAATCAATATGTTTGTTGATTATACTTCTCATAACGGGCCCAAGTTCCATGGAAGATGAACATGACCTATAGTGTCAAGGAGAATTCAAGCAGGCAAAAAAGAAAAGGAAGAACCAAACAATATGAAGGAATTCTTCTTAAATCTTTATTCCATAATTATTTATAATAAATGAAATTTTACCTCTTAAATAGAGGCTAACATTCCTTAACATTAAACTAAAACAATACGTGCCACCACCATAGATACATTACAAGATTACTTACCTTGGAGGGTATGGGTGTCAGAATGGCAGCATTCAATCAAAAGACGGTGAAATGGATCCATCAACCAAGGTAACATTGGAAGTATAAGACTTGGCACTTGGCAAATGATGAGAAAAGATGGGGCTACCCATTGTCTGATTTGTTGCACCTAAGTTGATTACCCATTTTCATGATGGGAGTTCATGAATGTTTTTTAGATGGTATTGATATGAGCGAACATCTAGAGGTGTTATACCCGAGACCCGAGGTATAATCAAGTTGCTATTTGAAGATGGAATTATGGAATGGTGAAGAGGAAATGAGGGGGACGAAATATGGGGGTGGAACAAAGAGTTGTTTTTTTTGGGTTTTGATGAAAGAAAAGAATAAGTTCAAGAAGAAGAAATGGTGAGAAATGAAATTGGCAGAGGTAAAGTGAAGGGATAAACCAAGTTGGTGTTAAGAGATATAACACACTCTTATCTTAACTTGGGGTTTGAATCTAGAATTCAATCAAGATATGACACACTTAATTAAATATCTAGAACCTAAAACTCACACTTAAGAGAACCACTCTTAAGATATAGAATTAGGAATTTGGCTAAAATAGCATCACACTATTTTAAGAGAATACTCAAAAGAGTAAATAAGGTTTTTGAATTAAAATATGCTGCTTACAATGGCCATAAGGCTGAACTATATATGCACACTACAAAGGGGAAATAATACATTAATAATGAAGAAGAAAACAATAACAAAGAANTGGCTGTTTTTTTTTGGGGTGTGTATGTCGGCCACATGTGAGGAAAGTCCAAGGCTGTGACAAAGCTTTATTTAGCATATTTTGGAAGGGTCTATTTCGTCCATATGTAGCACAAATAAGTGGGAAACATTGTGGGGCTTAGTGGGATGTTATTTGGCTAAAAGTGGGGCTGGTTTGTTCGGCCTCTAGTGAATAAAATCACAAGGAGATATTGGATGAATTTGGAGGATATTCTTTGGCTTGTTTTGAAGAGATTATTTCGGCCTTTTGTAGGGGAAAAGGTGAGGAAGGTACACTACATGTTTGGTTGTGAAATTAGTCAACAAAAGGAGAAACTTTTACAATTCAACTTTAGACTCTTTTTGCTGATTTTTTTATTTGTGGTAAATGGTAATTTTGGTTGGATTTTAGGAACCAAATGGGGCTGGAATTTCATCCCTATGTAGGAACAAGAAGGGAAGTGTGTTATTTTATTATTTAAGGCTTTAAAAAAAAAGAAATAAAAATGGTCTTCTTATTTTCAGTCAAGGGACTTAAAATAAGTGGAGGAAGACTTTATTTTAAAGGAAATAAAAGACAAGGCATTTTGGATGTTTAGGGATGGTTTGAGGTTTGGGTGGAGCCATCCAGGGGTATAACAAGAGGGTTGGATCCCATGTGTAAAATTAAGCAATGGTCGCAATCCCGTGCTGGAATTAGTGCGAAAACTGTAGAGAAGACATTCTCGAATCAGAAAATCAAACTGGTGAGAACCACGTGATTTAACAGTGAACTGTCCATGACTGTGAGGTTTGCATGGCATTCATGGTAGGAGTGTGGTGTGTGGTTGCAGGTTATCGGCTGCCCACTTTATCTGTTTTTTTGTGAATAGTAACTGCGTCTGCATGAGGGAAAGTCCCAATAGGGCCTATACTGCTTGGCCATTTGACGCCCAAAAGAATTTGAAAACATGCAAGTGGAACGATGAAGAATATGGTTATGATGAGGTCATCATTCTTCGAGACGGGGATGTTCTCACTTCTCACAAATGCCCAACCCGCTCAACTCCCCTCCATTTGCAACAGCGACAAAGAGACATGGCAACGGGTGTATTTTTAGGGTCTCGTCTTCTTCTTCGGTAGTGTCCCCTTGCAGACTTATAGGGTTGCCCATCATCATGAACTCTGTACCTTGCGTCATTCCACCCTATGGTGTCAAGGAGAACTCAAGCGCAAAATAATGAAAAGGAAGATCCATACAATAAGGAAGAAACTACTCCATAATGATTTATAATAGTCTTAAAAATTGTCTTCATCAATGGAGGCTTACATTCCTAAACTGAAAAGGAAACTCAACATAAACTATTGGTAAATATCTAGATTAAAATAATACTGCCTGTGTCCCTAAAAGAACTTGAAAGTTTACCTCATGGAGTTTAAGAAAAGTTTATAAAATTTAAAGGTGTTTGGTTAAAAGTAAAAAATGTGGCTGAAATTTATTTATAGATAGAGAAATGATAAGAGCCATGTTTTCATCCTCCAAAAGGGAAAGTGGAGAAGTAATGTTTTTTTGGAATGGATGAAAAAGGAAGGTGCAAAGTTCTTTTACGGCTGGAGGGAGTAATTGAGTCCAAACTCCAAAGTAAATAATGGATCAAAATTAATTAGAAGCATTCACACTCTATCACAGTTGTAGGCTTGTAGCATACATAAGGCCCTTATCCTTCCATTTTTTCTCATGCCATTCATGTTGTCTCATTCAACTTTCAATCTTAACACATCAAATGCCAACTTTTGTTTTAAGGGCATTCGAGAAGACTTGACACTATCTAATTCACACAGGATTGTTTTGGGGAAGATGGCTACTTGTGATGGCCCAACAAATGTTTATACTGTAATTCATGGCAGGTTTGTTTGTAAATCATGATATTGTTGAGAATGTGCTTGTCACCTTCTTGTCTTAGAACGATGGAGATCATCAAGTGTCCTATGACATTAGATTATTAAAGAGTTTCATACAGTTTTCCATCACCACTCTCCTATAAATAAATACTCTTCTCAATCATCTATTGATTTCCTGCTAAGGCTTAATATTTGGGACTAATTTACGTCATTACTCCAACAAATTCACAATTTTAACAAATGACACCATCACTCCTACAATTCACATATTGTTATGATATTACTCCCTCTGCCACCTCACTTGCTTACTCACTTGCCACATGGATTTTTATTTTATGACATGGCAAGTTTCCTTTTTTAATTCTTGCTTAATCACCCCACCACATAGTCTGCCTGTTTTTATAATTAATTTTTTCTTCTTTAAAGTTTTTTTACATTGCGGCGGACCAGTCTGCCGGTTTCTTTTTGCCTTTTTCTGCTCTTGTTCGACGCTAATTACGCTCTAAAAAATTAATATGGAAACATGCAGTATGTTCCACCGCTATTTAAAAAAATGAAATTAATATGAAAACTGATTATGTTATCTGTGGTTTTTTGTTTAAAAAAATTGATATCAAGACCGGCAAAGTAATCCCCCACTTCTCGAGCATAATAAATATGAAACCAACAGATATATCCGCCACTACTTTTTTAAAATATGGAGACCGCTGGATTATTCTCCCGCTTCTTGAGCTTAAAAAAAGAAAAACTAAAGAAATAGGTAGACCAATGTGCCGCTATGTAAAATAAGAAAAAAATAAAAAATGGTGGATTATTCCTCGCTTGAAAAAAAAGAAAAAAAGATGGAAACTTGCATAACAGTTCACAGCTATGTAAAAAAAATGAATATTAAACCGGCAGTTCATGTGGCGGGTGATTAAGCAACTGTCAAAAAAGAAAACTTGTCACATCATAAAATGAAAATTCATATGGCACGTAAGTAAGCAAGTGAGGTGATGAGGGGAGTAATATTATAAAAATATGTGAATTGTTGGAGTAATGATGTCATTTAGTATCAAATTTAGGAGTATTGGCGTAAAAAACATAATTTGTTCGAGTAATGGCATAGATTTATCATAATATTGGCGTTAAATATCAAATCTTTCAGAAGAGTCGTCTAGGTGTCATGGGGGTACACTGGCGCCGCGCCTCGCCTTAGCGCTGTTACAACTATGTTTGCTCGATGTGCTGCATATGAGCTAAAGTGTGCTACATTTGAGATTTTTTTAATGCCTCCCTAGTTGGATCATAAATAATACCCTCCAAGCTTCTTGAAAAATAAATTCCAGTCTAGGTCCCCTCAATGATTTGGTAAATATGAATGTCCGTTGATCGTTTGAGCCTGCAACTGCAGTGAAAACTTCTCTGGATATGACCTTTTGTTGAGTGAAGTGCTACTCACCATCTCAACACGTTTTGTTCTTCAACAAAAAAATGGATTGGGTTTTTAATGTAGTGCTGCTAAATTGTCACAAAAATTTGGATTTGGGTTGGAAATGTTTGAGCAAAAGTTTGCATGAGCAAAGTGCCATTGATTGTTATTTTGCTTGTGCACTGGATTCCACTTGTTTTTTGAGCAGATCAAATTCCATTCATAAAGAAACCAACACTCATATGCTAATATATTACGGTTAAGCGCAAAACTCTTGTATTTCCCTAGTCTTTTTATAACAGCCCACCACAGGGGATTTCTTAATGTATCTCAGAGTTCTGACAAGTGATAACACTATCCTTATGGATGTCACCTGGAAATGCTCTTGTATTATCTAGAGATGTAACTATTTGATAAAGTTCTCCCATCAATGCCTATTTGATTTTGAACGCCCTATCGCCCCGCTGATCGAGAGCTTGTCATTGTGATCTATAGAAGTGTCAACTGATTTGCAGTTGAACACACATCTTGCTTCCATATTTTAACAAGCACACTTTCATTGTTATATCACCCTTTTAACATGGGACATCAATTCCTAAGAAATGTTTTGACATGGCAAGATCTTTAGTCTCCAAATGTTTGAAGAAATGTCATTTTAGTATCTATTGAGAGTCATCTCTTGTGAACAATAACAGCTAACCTTTGTCCTTTGTGCTTGAGGTGGTCTCTTGGAAAAAACCTCTCAACCTTTTGTATGCAGGGGTAAAGTATGCATACACTCACCCCCTTCAAACCCCATTAGTGGGATTTTACTTGTTGATGTCTAAGATTTAGAGCACTAAAATTTGCTTCAATTCTGACAAAACTCTTGAACCCACATCGTTGAACCTTCCAAACCAGACATGAGGAGATCACCTTAAGCCTTAGAGAGAGTTTGAGTCTACACACGAAACTAGTCCCCTCTTGAAAAACAAACCCATGATGTGCTAAATTTCTCGCTAAGATGCACATTCACTAAATTTTACAATTTTCCATTGAAGAGTTTATAGATGAGCTATATTTGTTCCGTTCTCACCAAATCAAGGCCCAAAAATACTACTTCTAAGCTCTACCTTAAAAACAGTCATGTTTGACCAAGGTACACCTCTTTCTGGCAAGCTACAGTTGTCATAAATCATGAATCATACTTTTGCTTTTAATTTTTTTGTTGGTTAATTAAATTAATCTGATATAACTTGTCTCAGACTCTTTTTGCATTTTGGCAAACTACATGAAAATACAGATTCATTAGCAAAAGTAGACTTTTTTGGGGAAGATGTTTGGAAACGGCTCTTTTGTGATGGAGGGGAAACTCTTTTGGTTTTACTTTACGATGCAATTTTAGTGCCTGTACCTAATTATGGGAATGAATCAATATACAATTATATATGTTACCTACTTTCCATCTTTGAGCATAAAAAAAATAGTCATGTTTTGATATCCTTTTCTTCATACTTGAAATGTAGTCTCAGCAATGGTTTTTCAATGATTTAGGTTTTTTCTCTATTCATAAATTACTTGTATTTCGTTTTCCTATTCTAATATCCTTTTATAGACACAGACACGCACATACAAGTGTGCTTTTACAGAACAAAGGAAATTTTGTTTGTTATGATTTTGACTTCTGGATCATCTACAAAACAAAGGAAATTTCATTTGTAATGCTTTTGACTTCTGCATCATCTACAGAACATTAGCCAGTGGTCAGCGAGGGGAGGTGTATGAGTTGAATGGTGACCAAGTTGCAGTTATTCTTGAAAACAAAATGGATGAAGAGAACGGTGAGAAACCCATGGCCATGCCAGAAGTTGCTAAGCCATCAATATACTGGATACCTGGTATTCTTTCTTCAATCAGATTCTTATATCCCAAAAAAAATTCTACAAATATGCTTTTGCATTTGACCACATGATTTTGCATCTTTATGTAAGACTGAGTTTCTACTTCCGAGTAGGGGCAAGGTCTGCGTAACACACCCTCCCCAGACCCTACTGTAGTGGGATTCAACTGGGTTGTTGTTGTTGTATGTAAGACTGAGTGTGTTAAATTTGTGTAAGGTGATCATTACCCACATATTGATTTTGAACTATTACTAGGAAAGCATAAGGAGAAACTATATATTGAAGCCAAGGGTTTTTTTTGTTCCCAAAGCTAGAACACATAAATTAAATGCATCAAGCATGTAGAATTATAAATTTTCAAGCTATTTATATGTCCTCACTCAGAGCACGAGCTATCATGTTCTCCAAGTTTTTTACAAAAATATTTTTGTTTTATTTGTACAACATAGGTATTCAAGCACACTTCATCGACATTTAGATTGTTTTTTTTAGCCAAATGAGGTGACATTGGTTATATTTTGGCCAATTCCAAAGTTTGTATTTTGGAAAAATTCACAACAATACTCCTAGATTTGACGGATTATACAATATTACTCCCATATCCTTTTTTGCACGCCAATACTCTAAAAGATTATTGGATTTCATATTGCTACTCCAGCCAGGCTCAGTCAACTTCATATTTAGTTACACAAAAGTATTTTGGTTAATATGATATCTGAAACAATGAGTTGACAACACATCTAAAGTAATAAAATTAGGGGACTTATTTGAATAACTTAATAAATGTTAATACCTTTTTTGGAGACGGATGATTTCACCAGTTTCAATTAGGTTTCCTTCTCAGGTTTTTCATAAAAAGTCCAAATGGTGCCAAATTTAATTCCATTACTTTAGATGTGTTGACAACTCAATGTTTCCGATGCCATGTTAGCCATGCCATGTTAGCCAAAATAATTCAACGTGATTATGTCTGAAGCTGACTGAGCTAGGTTGCAGTTGCGATGTAAAATCTGATGATTTCTCATGCAAAAGAGAATCTAGGAGTATTATTTTATAATAAACCAAATCTGGGAGTACTGGTGTGAAGTTTTCCTTGGATTTTTGTCCAATCGTTCATAGTTAAAGGATGGTGTTTTGGTCCAATTTCCCTAATAATTGTAATGATGATGATGATGATGATGATGATGACGACGAAGATGATAATAATGATGGTGATAATAATAATAATAATGATAACAATAATGATACTACTAATAATAATGGTGATGATAATATGAATCCCCTCATGAAGTTTGTTCTCTACCTTAAAAGTGTTACCTCAATCACCAATCTCTGTCTTGATCAAATGGTAGTAATGTAGTATTAGAAACCTGTCATTTATGAAAATAACCCATATATGATATTGTGGAGGTGTCTTGAGTTTAAGGGGTGCCAATTGTATACATCCATGCAATCAGAGAATCAGAGATGTATGATGGGGCTAGGATTAGGGTGAAGACCATCAGGGGCTGCTGTTAGTCCCTTCCTATTTGCTTTGGTGATGGACGTCCTGTTGCAGAGTGTCCAGGGTTGCTGCAGGGTGTCCAGGCTTGCTGATAATATTGTACTGATTGATGAGACGCGAGAGGGACTTAATGGCAAGATGGAGTTATGGCACTATTCCTTGGAATCCAAAGATTTCAAACTCAGCACGACTAAGAATGAATACATGAAATGGTGTTTCAGGGGTCGAACGACGAAATTGGATGGGGAAGTTAGGATTGATTCCCATCTAATACCTGAGAGAGACAAGTTCCGTTACCTAGGTTCGATATATACGGGAATGTTGCTCACCATATTGAAATTGAAGATTTCGGCAAGCATGAAACGAATGTTCTACAGGAGCGTTGTTAGACAAGCTATGTTGTACGAAGCAGAGTGTTGTGTGGTTAAGAAAACCCACATTCGCCAACTATATGTTGCAGAGATGTAGATGCTATAATGGACGTGTGGGCAGGAGAGGTTTGATAGGATTCAGAACGAGGTTATGAGGGGACGGGTTGGAGTGACTTCTATGGAGAATCAGCTGCGAGAAGCTAGGTTGAGGTGCTTTGGGCACGTGAAACAACTGAGTTCTAAGGCCCCGGTGCAAAGATGTGAGAGGCTTTCGGTGGTGGCGGGAATGTGGGAAGAGGTAGACCCAGGAAGAGTTTGGAGGAGGTGGTTAGACATGACATTAGACCTTTGGCCCTTGCCGAGGATATGACCTTAGATAGGAGCGTTTGGAGAGATAGGACTAGGATAGTTGAGTAGACGTTTTGGGTCTGGTGGTAGTTTCTGTCCTTGTCAATGTATGGTTCATATGCTTTATGCTTGTTGTTTCATTGCATTTTTCTTTCCTTATCTTTAGCTTGCTTTGTGCTCCTTTTTCTGTGCTCTGTGCTTTCTGACTTTTTGTGTTACTTGAATCAGGGGTCTTTTGGAAACCTCTCTACGTTTGAGTAGCCTGCGTACAAACACCCTCCCAAACCTTACTCCCATGGGATTTTACTGGGTTGTTGTTATATGATTAATATGAAGCCATATGTTGAGTATTGGAGTGTGAATAACCACATCCCAAACAACAATTTGATATACTTTGCCCTAGTCCTCTTCTTCATTCCCCTTGAAACTTTTGGGGCATGTTTGGATGAAAAATGATTTTGAGTTAGACTTCGATTTCAAGATTTCTATATATGATTTTACACCTGTTGTCTGGAACATGATTGAAATCATGATTTTGAGTTTTTTACTCCAAAACTAAAGTTTTTGAGTCATACATTAAATCGCACGAGTCAGGCGTTAGGACCATAACCATCCAAACACCATATTACAAAAATCAAGATCACAAACCACAACCTATAAATCTTAACTTTAATAACTGATTTCTAGTAACACTAATGTAATCACCATCCAAACAGGCCCTTAGAGGAGCACAAGTACGAGACTTTGGTGTGGAAGGAGAACCACAAGATATGTTGGACATCACATACTTTTGGAACAATCCATTGGTTGCCTTCGTGATCGATATTCTAGTGGCTTTCAGACACATGCATTGGCATAAACAGTGTTGTACTCAATGAGTGGTACATCTTATTGCAGCAGGGTCACATGCCACACAACTGGTACTGTGGTAGTGGTATCAAATTTGATGATGGAGTTGATGTTGTTGAGGGCGGTGTTGGAGTTGCGAGCGGCCACCAAGAAGACAATGGAGTTGTTGGCTAATATTTGAAAATGAATCTAATAGCCATGAAAACGTGCAAGGCACAGGATGATGTAGTGGGTGGCCGGGTGCTGTGATGGTTTCTAATTAATATTCACGTGGGGCAACATCCTTCATGAACATGTTCCCCATGAATCTCCAGCTTGGCAGACATTGCGTCAAGAACATAATCAAAATTAACTAACACTTGAAGATCAACCCTGCTCGTTTTTAGTATTTTAATATGTTGAACTGAACTCTCGGGGAATACATAGTATCTTCATACATGAACCACTTAAAGAAACCACATGATTACACAATGTCCATCTAGATAATGTCAATAACTGAGGTGAGACCACCGTGCCCACTCATATAAGGCATGTCATATCAACACACGTACTAAACACATGCATAATAAGTCAATATAGAGTATATATAGGGGTATGGAGTATATATACTTTTTTTCAACTTGATTTCCACAATCCGAGCACACCATGTGTGCAATAGGTAACTTCCACTTAAGTTTAAATCTTCAATCTGAAATATAGTAGTAGTATAACAATTCAAATTGCATCATGCCGGCCCGTGGGTGGGCTTGCATTAGTGGATCACCAGTTCCTTAAATTCCTTTTAATTACCCCGTACAATTTTTGGATTTTTGGATCTCATCAGTTCCTTTCCAAATGATTCAAGAAAGCCAAAAGATTAATTGGAAGATCAGATCCATTAAGAGTAACATTTCTGTGATACATGGTACGGGTATTCTTAAATGTGTTAGAATCATAATTCCGTTCTTTCTAGTCTGAACCAATGAGATGCAATGAAGCACTTATTCTGGATGTATTCTCCTTCTAAATTTTAAAGAAATGTTTGGAGAAGTTGAATTTCATTTTTTGTTGCCTTCGTTTTTCAGTAAATCATAGATCTCATCGGTTACATAGTCTAAATTATTTGGATACATGAAGCCTACACTGCCCTTTCAATCGGCAAATGTGATTTTGGCCACCCAATATGACTGTGCTCTAACCTATCAGACATCATGGTTCTTGATACTTTGCTTCACAATATGCTCAATGTTTCAAGAAACTATCGGCTTTATTTATGTATTCATTTATTTTCCAGTCAAGCACATTGAACATGACAATGACGTTCAGGCTGAAGAGATATACATTGCTATGGAGGCACTTAGTGAGGTGGGAAGTTGGATTAATGAAGAAAATCATTTGATTGTTTATTCATTTACTTGCAGGTCAAAGGCTTCATATTATCCAAGCTTTTTGTATTGTAAATGCAGGTCCTAAAGTCTGTGCAGCCACTTATTGTTTACTTTCCAGATTCCTCTCTGTGGTTTTCTAAAACTGTGTCCAAACCAAACCGAAAAAAGTTTTTTGAGAAGGTGCAAGAAATGTTTGATCAGTTACGTGGACCAGTCATTTTGATTTGTGGCAAAAA